AAATACAATTTTTCATTTTTCAAAATTTTCTTATATATTCATAAACCCCTGACATTAGAGGTGAGAAAAAATTGGCAGCATTATCCAGGAAAAGTGATGCCCAGCTAACCACTTTGTCTCCTCAGGCACACTCATGTCCGGCCTTTCCCTCCTATTCCTGATGTCTCTGATGAACATGTTCTTTGGATCTATGATTCTGTTTAAGGTAAGTGAACCAAACAGGGCCATCCACCCTCTGCTAGAAGTTTGATCAGCTGTAAGTGAAAATGTGGCGTTTAACATCGTCATCTTCTCTGACAGGCACACATGTACCTGGGGCTGCTCATCATGTGCGGCTTTGTCCTGTTTGACACTCAGCTCATCATCGAGAAAGCAGAAAACGGGGACAAGGACTACGTCTGGTGAGGAAATGTGCTCACTGCTAGCAAAGTTCCCATCAGCCCTTTATCTGCTGGCCTACATTTCCCTATAACCAAATGCTGTGCAAATGCATCATCCCACAGTGAGCCATACAACTGAGCATCAGTTCTCAAGAAAAGTAATTTGATGCACCATATTGTATTATCAGACGAGCTGGCAGCTCGTTCTACTTGATGATGTTCTTCAGTCGGTCTGACTTTATCTCGACTGACTGATTTCTGTAGCAGAGAGGGAGATTCTCAGTTAGTAGACAACAGTATATTTGACGATGACCCTGAGGCCACGACCAGTTCTGATAAAAGACAGCATAACACTCAATTGGATAACTGGTGTGTTGAACAGTCTGTTATATTTAGTGACAAGAGTTGTGCCTGTGGCGGCTGATTAACTGTGACCACAGCCCTCTCTGAGAGGGTGGAGTTTGTTTTTTGGCTGTGCTGACAGAGCTGTTTTGAAGAAACGTCTTCAGGACTTTAAGCTGGACTGTTGGATTGGTGATGGATCAGATGTGTAATGTGAAGAGCTGAGCCGAAAGGCAAAGCTTTGGCTTTATTGATCCATCCTGGTAAATCACCTGGCTCACATTTAGACCAGTTCGACTCATTGCAAAGACTTTGGGTGTAATCACGCTGCTGAAAATGCTGCTTTGTGTTCACTTTGCATTCACTTTCCAAAAGATTGATGGCGTTTCCTCAGCTTGATAATGGCGATAATGTCCCCCCCAACTGTTTTCCTGCAGTTCATCAGAGCAATTTCTTTTCCAACCAAGAAACCGCCGTATCATGTTATGACGCCACAATCGATCTACTCGGTGCTGAAGATTGATTGATCGGTCTGGGCCTAGAAAAGCTGCATACTGTATGAAAACGCTCAATATGTTTTTAACAGTTCAAAAACCACCTCTGAATATCTGTTTTTATTTTTCAGGCACTGTGTGGACTTGTTTCTTGATTTCATCACCATCTTCAGGAAACTGATGGTCATCCTTGCCATGAACGATAAGGTACTGATATTATATGACTGCAAAATACTGTCTTTGAACATTTCCAGGAATGTCTAGTGATGGCTTGTTGTAATAACAAAAGTTGTTTGTGTACATTTTAACAGTTAAAAATACGTAAGGGAGTTTCCCTGACAGTCTAGTCTATTACTCTAAAGCTATAAAGAACTACAAAAGCACTTTAGTTGTTTTGGCTCAGTCCCAAATATACCATCTTGCTGCTGTACAAAGTCATTAGAGCAACAAATGTGTAGTCTTCACTGATGTAAATGGTCTCCATCTTGACTAAAATCATCACTGCTCAGCTGGTTTCACAAACTTATTTATAAGACCATTTTTGTGAGCGGTTGCTACAGAACTTAAACATAAACTGACTTCAGGCTGAAATCCAGTGAAGTATAAAAAGGCTTATTGGGTTTTTTTGGCCTTTTCATGCTTAAGAGTAACAGAAATATAAAATATGTTTCATATTTATTTTAAAAAATGCTGATGTTCTAAAAGCCAGTTCACTAAAGTCACACAAAGAGCACATTTTCTTATTTTCCTCATGAATTTGAGCTATGCAAATATTTGTGGTTTCATTTGCTGAGGTTTTGAGATATCTGAGAAAGCACCACAGTACAATGACAGGAAATTTTATTACTGGTCCACAAAAACAGTGAAAACTGAAACTTAGCATTGTGGATTTTCACAAACAGGGTCACAGAGATCTAAACATTCGTAGTGTTAACGTTTTAATATCAGGAAAAGTTTGTTTTAAAGCTTTTTTGTTAGTATTCTTAATTTTAACTTCAGACATAAGGTACTTGGTACTTTTAATTTTAGTTAACTACACCTTGGACAGTTTTCATTTCGCTTTATACTCCAGACACCTGTCTAATAAACTCGCACGCACTCATAAAGAAAATCATGTAATGAAGAAATAAATGCCACACTTGTAGCTGTAACTGTAATTTAAAACTGGAACGTCTGATTGTATCTGAGTGATGACGATACTCGGAGACAGGTAACTGAAAATGTTCTGCATCTTCCGTGTGATCAGCGCAGCTCGATATCCTGAGGCTGAAGTGAGACTCTCTGTTTCATATTACATAACTACAGCACTCACAACAACAGCTCGACCAAACTAACTGTCCCTGTTTGTGTTTTTGTTTTCAGGACAAGAAGAAGGAGAAGAAGTAAAGAGTCTTTGAGTAGCAGGAAAATAAAAACAATCAGAAAAGGCACAATTTGCAACGCACTTGGTGCTTTTCACTTTCTGTCTTCATTTTGAAATTTAACTCCTATGTGGTCTTACATTGTTGAAAATTCTTTGATTTATCATATACTTTTTTTCTAAACTTACAACAAGGGTTGAATGTAAGTTTATGGTATGGTATGCTCGTCCCATCCTGGCTGTGAATGAAAACTTTAACGCTGCAGTGATAACGCTTGGCCTGTAGAGGGGAGCGTTGCTCTATGATGGCTCCCAGAAGCTGAGCGGCACCTAATGAGAATTTTTTTCATATTTACTTGTTCTTTAGTGCCATAAATTAACATAATAGGCTCCTTTTTATAGTGGGTCACGTGAGCTTCTGAAACTGATAATTGTAATATTTTATGTAATTTCATTATTTATAGTTTTCCTTCGATCTCTTAAGTGAAATGTTGCCACATAAGGTCCCATGGTTTTTGACAGCAGCTCCTCCTTTTCAGAAATTTTCCTCTGATTTGTTTTGCTCCCACGTTTTTTGGTTTTGGGTAAGAGTGAAGAGTGCTAACACTGATTAAAACCCCAGAAGCCTGTCAGACTTGTTATGATCTACACTGAACTCATTCAGAGGGACTTTCAGCCACTTGCTGGTTTGGATTTTGGATTTTGGCCTCATTGAGGAGGAAGAATTGCTGCCATCTGTCCTTTTCTCTTTCATTTTGTTCCTTCAACTTGGATTGACGGGCGAATGATTCAGACCGCTCCCCTTGTAAATCTGTTGTCTAGACAATAGTTTGCCAGATGATGATGTTAACCTGAAAATTTGGCATCTGTATAATTCCTTTTTTTCCTCTTTTTGCCTTTTTCTTTTCTTTTCAAAGTGTATACTGTGAAAATTTTATTTTGTTGATGTAAAACTGAAACTAATAATTTGATACATTTGCTCAAATAAATGTGTTGAACGTACTGAGACAAAGTGATCGTGTCTTTATTACAGGCCTCTGTGGTTGTACTCTAATCTATGTAATCTGTACCTGATGTGTTATAGATGTGGGGGCATCTGTGGCTCAGGAGGTAGAGCAGGACGTTTACTTCTCAGATCCCTGTGTCAAAATATTCTTGGGCAAAATACTGAACCTCGAGTTACCCCTGATGCATCCACCAGAGTGTGTGTGTGTATGGGAATGCTGGGGAAAGCACTGAAGCATAGAAAACAGCAGTTAAGCTTTTAGAAAATGTAAGATTTGGCTTTGAAAATTGTTATTCCAAAGCTTTGAATTCCCCCTCCCAAAAGGACTTTTCTACTCAGCAAAAACACTTTATACAGCCTACCTCTTTCTATCTACCATCCACACTCTGGTGGGCACACCAGAGGGGAACTTGGGGTTAGTCTTTTGTTCAAGGGTGTTTGGCACGCAGACTGGAATCAAACCACCAACCTTCCAATCAGTAGGTGACCTGCTCTGCCATCTGCACTACAGCCAATCTGTGAAGCAGAAAGGTTTTGGTGCCCTGAATCTCTCAGTAATAGCACAAGAAACAGCTTTTTGTCACTCATAATAAAACTCTAGCTTTTGTATCTTACATGATGTGGTACTGATTATTTATTAATATGTTTTTTTATCGTGTTATGCATTTGCAAATGTGCATATGAGAATAATGATAATGGAGGGCTCGCTTACAGCAGAACAAATGTACTGACAGGTGCACATAAACTGAACCTCACAGTTTCCTGCACAGTCTGGATATTTTAAAATTGATTTAACATGGTTTATGAATTTTAGAGGTTGTTTTTTTGTTTGTTTTTAAAGGCCTCTTCTTGATGTACCTCAAATTCTTCAGCTAAATAAAAAGTGTCAACTCCCCAGAGGTTTTATTACAATAACAATTCTCTCTTTTTAAACGCTCAGTAGTTTTGAAGCTCAAATGTTTTTAGAATTAATGCTTCAAATATTCAAATATGTCATTTTTCAAATAAAAAATTCTAATTCTAATTTTTTATTTGCATAAAATATTCAGAAATAAATCATTGCCTTGATGGGAACTATAACATTTGTCCTCAAGCCTGTAAGATGTTAGAGAGATGTTAGGCCCTTTATTCCCAGTAGGATTATATCTCACCCTAAGGAGACAGTTTAATTTAAAGAATGTAATTTACATATTTTTCCTCTGCCTTGTGCTGTTTAGCTGTTTATCCATCTAGATTGCTTTGGTGTGACTTACCCAGTTTTGGAGATGTC